ACACGTCAGCCAGATGTGAGAAGCCAAGCTCCCTGGGGGCTAAGGGTGGGACAGAGCGCTGATAACACTCGCTCAAGCTCATTGCCTCCATTTGGGACTGGTTCTCTCTGGTCTCTGGAGGCACCTTGTAGCCCCTCTGCCTCAGTCTTCCCACTTGCAGAAGGGAAAACCAGCAGGAGTTTTTGGCTGTTTATCCATGAGTCACTCTGAAGATACAAGGGGCAACACAGAGGAGAGGAAGAAAGAACCAACAGGCGACAGCTTACACCACTACAGACATGTCACATCAAGCAAGAACAACAGCCACTTCCTATTCCATTCCTGAAGAAGAATTAGGGTGGTGAGAACAATAAATAGGTGTCTGCAAATGGGAAACTTGGAAGCTGCTGGATTTAGTAGTTAATGAAGACCCCCCTGAGCAATTCTGCAAGTGATGCTGGGGACCAGTGCAGGGAAGGAACAGAGCCAACATCTATTTCTGCCTGGCAAAAGCAAACAAGCCAACACACACACACACACACACACACACACACACACAGTGTGGTCGTTGTGATTCTCAGAGAATATTAGCAAAGGATAAAACCTGCATAACTGCCATAAATTATAAAAGCCTCCCTCAATCTTGGTTAATTCTCTTGTAGAAAGGGAGGGAAAAATCTGGAGCAGCTCAGCATGAAAACAATTGTGGGAGGGTTAATAAAGAGACAGCACTGAGGTATCTAGTTGCTAGCCCTGATGTCATTAAGTAAGTGCACTAGAAATGTCGAGGTAAATGCATAACAGTGAATCACAGTCAGGCATGATTAACCTTGGGTAGTCTGAACTGGAAATCATTTACAAACACAAAGGTACTGAAGAACATCTCAACAGACATCGAAAGTCATTCCAAGAGCAGGAGTCATGCTAAGTGCTTTGTGTATGCATGCCATTTTTTAATTATTGTCATATTTTGCACGTAGGAGGATGGAAGATCCCTCACGCATGGAGGACTTTCTGTGGCACTGCAAGGTCCTTGGAAACATGTGTACTGCTTGGAATCACTTTGCCTTGCACACAAGTTTTATAAAATTAAAAGTTTTAGTTGCAACAATCCAAAGCTTAATGAAAGGACACCGTTTTTGCCAAAGAAAGAATAAAATTCTACAAATTCAAATATTAAAGAACAAAAGAGCTCTCTATCCATTCCCCACTCCTTAATACAGCCCTCCAGACTAAAACTGGTAAAACTCGGGGTGGGGGGGGGGGGGGAAGAGATTTTAACAAAAATTAGGTGTTTTTAGCAAAAACTATGAAAGTTCTTTGACCCTTGAAAATTGACCCTCTTATCATAAAACCAGAAGAACAAAGCAGTGCTGGATATTTCTTAGCAGTCCTAAAAGTTTAGAAATTCCCATTGAAGCTGTAACCATATGACCCATAAAGAGCTACATATATTGAATACAACAACAACAAAACCCCTTCAAATCCACAATTCTCATGGTTTTAAAAGCATTCAATTACAAGGAACATGACAATTACAAGGAACATGAATCAACTGGTGAAGACTCCAGACAGCTTAACACCTTTGTATCTTTTGTTGCAATTCTTCAGTGCCATCTCAGGTGATTATTGTGCATGAGGTGGTGAAGGCCACAGGAATATTGTGCAAAACAATACAGCTCTGCTTAGATTTCTTTCCTGCTTTCTCATCAGTCTCATTCTCCTAAATCCGTCTCAGTTATCCTTAGCGTTGTAATAACTGCCCTTATTTAGCTGCCTCATTAGGATGCTGCATCAATTAATGTGCATCATCTAATGCATACTAGTTTTTAAATGTTTAATATTATTATCAGTGGAGAGCTGTGTCATACCAAGTCCTTCTAGGGAGCTAATGCATATAGGGAAAAAACTGCTATGCATAATGCCATTCTGAATGATTACTGTAACCAAACCCCTCTGAACAGACCACCACATGTCCTGCACTCTAGGTTTCTGTAATTTAGGAGCTTACAGGTAGCACCTTCACCCCCTGGTGCTGCAGGTCTTAGAGTTATGTTTGTTTTTGAGGACCTGGAGACCAGTGGACAAGGCATGAGGAATGTCTTGAAGCGGAGACGTCATGTACATGCTTGGTGCGCAAATGCCTCACTGCCTGATTCAGGAGGGTAATCAACCTGTCCTTTGAAGCTGCATAAATAATGTTTGGATGGAGGTAGTATATCTGCACCAGGGATGAATTAACTGCCATTGAGTCATATAAACCTGGCTTGAGTGTGTGGCTTGTAACATGCCTGAGGAAAATAAAAAAGACATTTTCAAGAAAGAAACATTAATTTACTCCTCCCCATCTTCTCTGTTATTTTCCTCTAGGCAAACATGACTTACTTCGTGGGATTTTTTTGTTGCTGTTTGTTCCATTTTCACAGGGAAACACTGATTCACAGTGAAATGAATTCACAGATTCTCCTGGTCAGGCCTGAACGTGCCATCTTTCCTATATCAATATTGTTCCTTTTTAGCACCCCTACCAGGAAATGCCAAGTGGACTCCTTTGACACTCAGGGGAGTGACACTTCGCAAGAAGATGCAGGCTTTTCTACCCACAGGGACCCCTGGCAGCATTCATGTCTCTTTGCACACCCCTGCAGCTCCTAGCTGGGCACTGCTGAACCTCTCATCCAGCTGCACAATGGCACAGCCTTCTTTATGTGTGCAAGGGAAGATTACATCCCATACTGTGGACAAACTGAGCCCATACACACCTATGTGTGTGCCTGCACTGCAGGTCCCCCTGCCTGTGCATCGTGTACACAGTTGTGGGTTGCTACACCCTGAAAAGAGCAGAGAAAGTCTGTATCCATGACTGCCTGAGATACCAGGGATAAAAGCCTGTCCTAGAAGAAGGTGGAAAAGAGAAGAAACCCGTGGAAGGCAAACAACAGGGTAGCACAAAGAGAACTGAGGCATCAGTGTGTGCCTACATATCGACATACTTTCCTTCACTATAATGCTCATGGATCCAGCCCTCTGCTGAGTAACATGCACATTTTAGTTTGTTAATGGCTTTTACTTGTATCACTCTTCCTTCTCTCTTGTTTTCAGTGTTTGACCTCTGGTTTTCTCTTTTACTGTTCTCACTTTTGTAGCTCTTTCTGAAAATGTGATGTTTGCAATTCTTTTTTCTATTCTTTGCTGTATCCCCCCTCTCATTTTCTTCCTACTGGTTCCCTTCCTCTCATTTCCTCTTTTCTCTTCTGCCTCCTTTTCCACATAATTTCTATAACTAGAAGGGCCTCTGCTTCTTGAACTCAGTCATTTATCAACAGTAACCAGTTGTTTCTACCTCTAAAAGTTGTTCTGGGAATCAAGGTATGCTGTAGAATAGCCTTTGAATATAGTAACAATTTAAAGATAAGCATTTTAAATATACTATATCTGGTAGACAGCACAGTTTCTGAAGGTTGTACTATCTCTTATTAGGCAAGGAACTGTTCACACTAGACCAGATTCTGAGGTCTGTTCTATCTAATATAGCCCACCATATGACACAGTATGTAGTCTCAAACCAAATTTGTAACCATAATGAAGTGTATCTCTGAACTCATATTTTGGATTCAGAGATACCACTATTGCAGGTTCAGAGATTGTACAGGATCCGATGAAAGAGCAGAAGGGAACATTCCTCATCAAAGAAATACTGTCTAACTAGAAAAACACCACTTTGGAGACAGCTTATGTTTTACATATTGCTAAATATGAGCAAAAATAAATGTGTTCATTTCTCAAAAATACCTCCAGATGGCATTAAAACCCTTCTTCTTTTGGTCCTTACTGCGATATTATTTTAAAAAATGATAATTATTGGAATCATTCTTTAACCATTCCCAGCAATCATACTATCAGAAGGCATAAGGCTGCTAATGCTTAATTCATTTAATAAGTTTGGCTAAATATGCTCGCATACTATAATTACATTCCACAACACAATCTGCAGGGCAAACCATTTCTTACACCGTGTCAAATGTTTTCTATATTCATTTTCAGAAGATTTTTTTAATGCGTATTTGCAGCAAAAATCAAAACATCCCAGAATAAATCACTGTTATTGTACCTCCTTCTGTGAATACTTTTGGCCATGTAACAAATGGTAACACCTTATGAGATTTACATGATATAATGCTCTGAATTTAAATAACAGGAATCAGAATACATAAATTATGGGCCAGATGCATTCTAAAATTCACATGACCTACTGTTACAAGAACTTCCCTCCCTCAAATGGGATTAAAAAGGTGAATGGTTTTGCAGAAATTCATAATGCTCCTGCCTGGTAGTTATTAAAAGAATTCACTTATCTCAGTTTGGAAGACTGATGCCATTTTTTTTTTTTTTTTTTAACTTTCAGCCCATCTGTTTCATAGACTGGTTTATGTTGGCAAAACAATTCAGTCTTTTGTATACTAGAGTTAAAAATGGTAAAAGCTTCTATTGTTGCACTAGAGTGAAGGTGAACACTGATATATTACAAGTGCCTGTTCCCATCTATTTCTCGACTTCTTTTGTTAATTCAAAAACATCAACAAAATCGTGAGAGACCAGAGATAACTGTAATTGGATTTCAAGTAATTCAGAGGTGAAGCTGCAGACTGCAGTCTTTTAAAATTACATCAGTACATCAAAGGCATATGTGACATAATGTTTTTTAGCAAGTGTGACAAACTCCAGCAGCATTAAGGTAATGTTGAAGTAAGGTTGTAAAGGCCAGCCTCGCACACCCACAAAAATAATCTCATATCTATTCAGTGTGATACGGAGCCATTTCACTTGCAAAGATCTCTGACTTACTAGCATGCAAAAGTTATAGGAATAATTAATGTTTAGTCATTATCCAAAAAGCCGGTTTAAGAAAAGCATCAGTGAAAGAGCTTTATCCTAATGAAAACAAACAAATTCTATTTTGCCCAACAAATCTGATAAAAACACAGCTGTCTTCTCCAATTTTAAACGCAAATGTGACTTACGATGTATGGGTTGCGCTTTTCTCTGGGCTCTTTGGCTCTACATCAGTTTTTCCTTTAAAAGAGAAGAAGACAATGACATCAGAAGTGGGTCAATATGGAAACTGCTCAGATATGACATGTCATTGCTTTATTCATTGCTAACACTGACCGCTCTTGCCACACACACACAGACAGGTGGCTGTGGAGGCAACCACAGGGCTGCAGGGGCACTGCTGGAGCATTTGCTAGTGGTGGGTCAATCCTGACTTAACTTTTCTTGTTCCTGATACATGTACCCTCTAAATATCAGGCAGAGAAACTTCACAAGAGAGGCTGCTTAGAGGCCACAGAATTTATCGGGGAGCAGACCCTGGAGCAAAGGAAAGGATTTCCCTAGGACTCTACAGTTCTGCTACTGAGAGTGTACTCCATACAACATGCACTTGCTCCAAAACCCTGCTCTAGGAACAGTAATTATTTCATACAAAGCAAAACAGTATCAGCAGGAGATAGTAAGGCAGTGATTAGGGCACAAATCTGCCAATGGATATTTTGGTTCACATGCATTTTGACAGATTAAGGATGTGTTCTTTTGCACCTGTAAGTCAGGGGCTGGGGAAGCCCTCTTTGCCATGTTGTGCATTTTGGCAAAGGCACTCAGTGTCAGAGAGGTGAGGTACCCAAAGGCTTGAGAAGTATCAGAGGTCCAAGGGATGCCTCTTCACATTTCCTTATGACTCACATGGGTCCTGGCATGTTGGCTTGTTATGACGCCCATACTGGGTCCAAAATAATATATCTGCCCAACACAAGTTAGTTACATAGCACAGACAGGGGCAGGCAGGCTGCTGGCTGATGAGGTGGTACTGCTTCTGCTAAGTCAGGCCAAATCCTTCTCCCTCCTTTCTGCCCCCCACTCCCCATCAAAACACAGGAAGGCTGATGTTGTTTTTTGTATTTAATGTTCTCTCAGTAACCCAAGAAAGCTACACTTCATTGTAAGATTTCTGTTTAGCTCTACCATGGATGTACAGGTTATGCCACTCCACTTGAATCACCTTGAATTCTGGACCTAGCGACTGTGCAGCTGCTGCTCCTCTTGTGTGTCACTGGATGCTAATAGCTGTCTATACATGAGTTTATGTTGCCTAGCAGACAAGGAGGCACAGAGGTTGAATGTGACTGGTTTACTGACGGATGTGTTTTTCTCCATTACCTTTTAATGAGCTTTGTTAAACCAAAATCCACCTGTGCCTTCTGAAAAAAATGTGAGAAATGCTTATTTTGGCCAGGCTGTTGTGGTGTTGCCTGATTTTCTGCTCACTGAATTGAGCGGGTTTTGCATCAACTCCCGGTCGACCTAGTCCATGCACGTGAGCATTATGCATCATCCATTTGCTCCTGACGAAGTCCTCATCTTCAGTTTCCATACAGTAATGGCTGGAAGGGGCACCTCTGGAAAACTTGCTGTTGCCTTCAGAAGAGGCAGATTTTGCTACCAATGTTCTTCTACTGCTGCACAGAAAGAAGCTGAAGCTCTTAGTCTAGACAGTGACATTCTGGAAGCAGGTGCCTTGTAGAGGAGGTTCTGAGTATTGCAAATACTTTTAGATCTTGTCCTTCCCCCTTCTGGAAGGGTTTGTGTCTACCCAACTGAGGTGCCTAAACTTTATTGAACAGGATGGGGAAAGCTCTGGATGACTTCAAAGCCACTGATGCCTCTGTGGGCCTCCAGGGAAGTTAAGCACTTACTGTAAGAGGACAGCTAAAGGCACCTAAAATTTAGGCATGAACGGGGCATCCGCATGGGACAGAATACATCCACCCCATAATCTCTACGTTGCTCTTCACTTTTAGCAGAGACCTCAGAAAGTATATCCAAATGATAAACTTGCTAGCTAGAAAGCTGTTGCTACAGTATATGTTTGTCAGCCTTAGGGTGCCTGGAGCATTATGGTAATTTGGAACAAGAAACCCACAGAAACAGTTGGCATATATTCAAAGATTTTCTATTTGTAACTTGGGCTTTTTCTAAGTGATGAATTATTACCATGAACACTGGTTTGTTTGAGTGTGAGAGGGAATATGGATTCCTGAGTGCTCTGCCAGCAGAGTTCACATTAGTTCTACTTTCAGCAATATATGTTAATGCAGCAAGAAGGGAAATAGCATATATACTGTGAGGAAATAGGAAAGGGAATCTCTGTGATTTAGCCAAGCTGGATATTAATGAATTACCCTACAATAAGTATTTGTAACTGCTTTTATGCTAATTGTCACTTAACATACTTCTGTGTGGAGGGCAAGGATGAAGCCTGTTACAGATGGTAGAAACTCTTCAGTCCAGCCTATCAGAGTAGAAAATCTGGCCATTAATTCTTTATTTTATTCTCACTTAATTGAATCTTAGAAATTTCAAAAATATGTGAAGCTTAAGTATAATTGAATGTCATAGGTATGGTACAATTTTTTTTTTTTTTGGACAAGCGTATGTAAAAGAGAATTACCTGTCACAACAACTTGGCTTTTTTATACTTAGTCTTGGCCAGACTAGGATTTGCTTTTCATTTTTATATAACCTGCCAAATGCATGCAGGGAGGGAGACTGGCATTTGCCAAATTGCTGAATCTTCTCTAGATTCTTCTGGCTTCTTCTTTTTGGCCACTAGTGTCATCCTTTGTTTTTCTTAGTCTTTTTGGAATTGACAAAGAACGTGCTCCCCACCTTGCTATGGGACTGCTGTTAGCACACCTTATTTCAGGTGCTAAGTGCTGTGCATGTCTCCTGAAACCAGCGTGTCTGTGTGTCGGAGGGTGTATGTGCACACATGCCTCCAGAAAACACACAGTAGAAACAATTAGCCCACAGATCCTTACCCACAGAGCTGGGAGTTCTTGGCTAGTTTCTACCTCATCTCACGCCACTTCTTTCCTAACATTTTTAGATACAAGCAGAAGGTATGTGTCCAGATTTCTGAAATTTCAAAATAAATTTCAAGTGAACTTCTGTAAGATTTCCCTGCTGAATAGTGGGTGGCCAGAAAAGGACCTCTCTCCTCTGAGTTGGAATTTTGGTGAATCACTCAACCTAACCAGGTCATGTTTCCCTTATTGGGTAACAGGGATAAATAATATTTATTGTGATGGGGTTGTATAACTTCAGCCATTATGGGTTCTTAAATGCTTTGATTTCCTTGTGGGGGAAGGGTAACAGAAATGCAAATATTATCCGTGAGAAAGACAATGTTGGCAGCTGCAGTAAAACCATTGCAAACGACAGGCTCAAGAGCCACTCCAAAGAAGACATGGTGCATTGGGAAATAACAGCTAATTAGGACTCTGAAGATGTGCATTTGGATAACACAGTACATAGATCATTAGATTTCTTTCTCACAGAGCAATTTGCTAGTATTTCCTCACATCCTGTACTGGGTTTTCGTGGCAAGGTTTTGGTAATGGGGAGGCTTCTGTGAGAAGCTGTCAGAAGCTTCCCCTGTGTCTGATGGAGACAGTGCCAACCAGCTCCAAGACAGACCTGCTGCTGGCCAAGGCCAAGCCCATCAGCGATGGTGGTAGCGCCTCTGGGATAACAGATTTAAGAAGGGGGAAAGATGCTGCACAAAAGCAACTGCAGCCAGAGACAGAAGTGAGATTATGGAAAAAAACAGCTCTGCAGACACTGAGGTCAGTGAAGAAAGAGGGTGAGAAGGTGGTCCAGGTGCCGCAGCACAGGTTCCCCTACAGCCCGTGGTGAAGACCACGGTGAGGCAGCCTGTTCCCCTGCAGACTGTGGAGGTTCATGGTAGAGCAGAGATCCACCTGCAACCAATGGGAGACCCCATGCTGAAGCAGGTGGATGCACAAAGGAGGCTGTGACAGCGTGGGACACCCGCACTGGAGCAGGCTCCTCGAAGGACCTGTGGACCCGTGAAGAGAGGAGCCTGTGCTGGAGCAGGTTTGCTGGCAGGACTTAGGACCCCACAGGGGGCCCACACTGGAGCAGTCTGTTCCTGAAGGACTGCACCCTGTGAAAGGGACCCACACTGGAGCAGTTCATGAGAACTGAAGCCCGTGGGAAGGACTCGTTGGAGGAGTTTGTGGAGGATCATCTCCCATGGGAGAGACTCCATGCTGGAGCAGGAGAAGAGGGTGAGGAACGCTTCCCCTGTGGAGCAAGGAGTGTCAGAGACAAGGTATGATGAACTGACTGCAGCTCCCATTCTCAGTTCCCCTTACACTGCTGGGGGGGAGGAGGCAGAAAATTTGGGAGTGAAGTTGAGCCCAGGAAGAAGGCATGGGTGAGGGGAAGGTGCTTTTAAGCTTTGATTTTATTTCTCATTGTCTTACTCTGATTTGACTGGTTATCAATTAAATTAATTTCCTTGAGTTGAGTCTGTTTTGCCCATGATGATAACTGGTGAGTGATCTCTCCCTGCCCTTACCTCTACCCACGAGCCTTTTGTTGTCTTTTCTCTTCTGTGTCCAAGTGAGGAGGAGAAAGATAGAGTAGCTTTGGTGGACACCTGGTAAGGGTAAACCCACTATGCATCTGAATAATTTTTTTCCCCAAATTTCCTTTGAGTTTGACACACAGGACTGGTAAAATCTATATCTCTCTGTGATGTTAGGAAAAGTGTCTGGGTATTTGACAGCGACCCAAACTTTTGCTACCAATGAATAAAACATTTCTGCATTGGTTCAGCTACTATTTGGTTTGGTTACCATCAGCCAGTCGGTAGTATCAAGTCTGGCTTCTGCCCAGGTGCAAACATGCTGACTTTGCTAAACAGGATGAGTGAGGAGATAAGCAGTTGGAGGTACTATGGTGTGGGAAGGCAAATGGGGGAATTGGAAGTGAAATGGAGTCAGAGACCATTGGAGTAAAGAGCAGGGGAAACTTTTAAGGATGTGGGATCACTTGCATAATCCACAGGAAAGTGAGTTTCATTAAATCTGCAGAATAACCTATTTTATTCAGTTGCTGAAAGAAGGAGCTACTCAGCTATGACCAAAGCTGGCCAGGTACTGCGGCCTCTGATGTCACTGCAAAGCCCTCAGCTCAGCTGGTGTGTTTGTGGTGCTTGTGCCTCTGCCTGTGTTTGCATAGCCCTCTCTGTTATGGCTCTTTTGTGCTTCCTTCTCTCATTACTGTATTCATTATTTTCTGACAGAACCTCATCCCCTTTGCCTTTTATTACTTCCTTAGTGCTGGTACTTGAACCGATATCAAACCAATGCCAGCAATTAAGTGACACCACTGCATGTTTCTTCACAACATTGCCTTCTGCATGCCGACCTTTCCCCAGTGAAGAGCCACACCGTTTTAAGAGCCTACATCTCCCAGCCTTGTCTCCCTGGATGTCTTTTCCCTCACGCAGTGAGTGACTAGACCCTTTCAAAGCCCTAGCTACCAGCTCAGGGCACTTTTTGTCTTCAGTCACAGCCCTGCAATTTGCAAACAGGGCTCTGTGTTGGCTGACAGGTCAGGAAGCTAGCAAAATAATTCCTTTGGTTGCAATCATTTTATGTGGAGAGCAGAATAGGATCATGTATTTTTAATATGCAAGACAACATCAACAACCGTCAGAGGTGTCAGGGGAGAGGATTAATATTTTGTTTTGCAGAACAATTCAATCTTCCCTTTCAATACAGCTGCTAAGTTTTTTACCGTAACTAAATGTAATTAAAATGCTGCTGATCTGGACCATGATTTGTAAACTGGAGTCCACTGAAAAGCCCTGACCAGGAGCTAAACAAGCAAATATCGCTTCCCTACCCACAATGTTAGCCAAAAGACCCATGGCTATGTGGTCTTCAAAACATTATTTGGTGTTAGTTTGGCAGGATTTATGTAGCTTATTACTGTGCAATGGCCACAAAATACACCATTGCCTATGAAAGATAAACGATAACAAGTCTTCTTGCAGAATTTTCTGGCAGTCTGGATCTGGGCCTGCAATTAGGTCCTCTCTTTTCTGGCTTTCCAAAAAAAGACACTCTTTTGCCCTTTCAGTCTTTCTCATTTACATAATGAAATGGCCATAACAAAATTAATACTTTTTGTTCTTCCCAGGCCACCAAAAGATTTGACATTTTGATGGTCACTCTTCAGTTTGGTTCTCCACATTCTGCCACATAACTGAGTACTGCCTGCTGAGGCTCTGCACTGTCCCAGTCTGCTACTGGTCCCTTGCTCATCAGTTGCTTCTTTTTCATAGTCACTTCAACCCCCGCTCCAAATGTAGCCAGAAAATGAGTTGGTACTTACTTGTATTGCTGTGTCCTGTAGATCCCTGTTGTGACTCCTACAATAATACAGAAAAAAGGTAAGGTGTGTTATTTTACAGCAATTTTTAGCTGCAATACTTGCTTGGACATTACCTTAACAATACAAACAGCATTGATGATTGTTCATTTGGTTTCAAAGTAATTTTCAATTACAAGAATAAATCCAATATTTCTTGGAAAATCCATTAATTCTAAGGCTTGTAAACTTATTTCACAACAACCTTTTAATAGTGCAATTCCTTTTATAGCAATTACGACCCCCCTGCTCACTATTCATTTATTGATCAGCCAAAACTTGTCTATTATCTTCTACAAGTTTAGATGAGAAGACAGAGGGAAGACCAATATTGTTTCATGGACCATTGGATTCCTGAGATGGTAGCACAGCTGGTCTTCTTTTTCTCATGTTGACATTGACAGCATCAGACAATGGAAATAAGACTAGTTCTGGGTCCCTGAGATTACAAGGTCAACCTTGTATGACAACAGCAATATCTGTGAATATGGTGCAATAAATCAGGCCTTTTTATCCACATGTACAAATGTTCTCTCACTGCGTTTTACTCACAGAATTTGTTTGTATTCATAAAACATAAAAGAAGCCTATAAATAAAAGGGAATACAAATATAAACAATAACAAAAAGATACTGAAATTAAGGGAAAGAAGAATACTTTGCTATGGATGACAGCAGGGAAGGTATCCTGTATTTAACTGCTTCTGAATAACCCAGACACACAGAGGACTGACACAGTTATGACTGCAGCTAAGACTACTCAGAGAGGCCAGGCACCCACAGCAACACATGTGGTCATTTTTGGTGAGGAAATGGGCTCTGGACCAGATCCCTGGTCCTCAGAGGCCGAGTGATGAGCCAAACACACAGATCATCAAGAAAGGAATTGCAAGTCCCCTGAAAGCTCACGAATGCTCTGACTTGGCCAGCTGAGATTATGCTGCTAAGTCCCTCAGGAGCACACCTCAGGGGCTTAAGTCCCAAGAGCTTCTTGGCCTCTCTAAACACACATTGGCTAGACTGCAGGCTCTGGGGTCTTGAGGGCTCAGCTGATCAAAACCCCTCGATCTGTACAATTTGCTCTGGAGTCAAGGCTCTCCAGACTGCTTTGATCTGTAATTTTAATACTACAATACACATCAGCAACTCACTTCCATCCTACACACCTGTAATGCGAGACATCAAATTTTTGGGCAAGCCCTAAGAATTTCTACCTTCTACTGCAATATGAGAAAATCTGTACCGTGTTTCACATGCCGAGAATCATTTCTCAGTAAAGTGAAACTGTGCACTTTTGACAAATTGAGCCAGTTTTTTGTGAATGTTTCTGATGAAGAGAAATTAAAGGCTGTTTTTTCCTGAATGTAATCTTAAAAAGTCAAGATCAGTTTGCAGCAGTGATATAATGGTATGTACACTTGAATTTAAATGCTATTCTTGTATCCTGCCACATTCCCAATAAATGTAGACTTTTAGAGCATGTTCACCCTCATATTTGTAAATGTGCTTGAAACTTCTAAACAAGGATCTTGCTTACTCTTCTACATTTTCATTAACCTCCCCTTTAACTGCCTAGCACAGTATCTTAACTCTGCCATTAGCTGTGCATAATCTAAAATTTAACATCAGCAAAACATGTAACCTGTACACATTTTCACATTTCCTTTTAACTGATTCTTTAAAATTTGTTGATTCTCAACAAATTAGCCTGAATGATAAAGGTTAACACAAATATCTCATAGAGAAATACAGAATGCTCCCAGTGAGGTAGAAAAAGTATGGCTTTATATTACTAAAAAGCTGAAATTTTCATTTCTGAAGATTATCGTCCAGTGTATTTGCTCCAGCTTGTTAAAGTCAACAAGAAAGGAAAAACTAAATTAATTGAGCATGTAAAGAACAACATCACTATGATAACTTAGCTTCTGCTGAGAATAATCACCCAATAGCTTTGTGACAAGACACCAGTTCTCCTGGAGTGGACAAATTAATTCTCAAATAACAAAATGATGGCTGATCCCATAATCTCACATATACATAACCAGAAATCAAACACCTGATCAAACTTTCAAGACATGAATCACAGTAAAAATGAAGAAAGAGAGCAAAGCAGTCAGCAGAATTAACAGCATTTTTTCCTGCACAAGAGAACTAATACCTGAACATGAAAGCTTATTTGCAGAAGCATCAAGCGAGCTCTTATTTACAAATTTAATTATTCATTTAAAGGTTTTTTATTTATTAAGATACTTTTAGTAAAATTAAAATCATGAAATGCCTGATCATTTATACATAACAAAGTGTGGCAGAGATAGGAGAAAGAAAAGCACACACAACCAGTCGCATCACACACTGATTCATTTTTCCTTAAGCTTGGAAAACAAGAAATAAAGAGACTGTCATTGCACATTCCTAGTAAATTCAAGAGTACAAATTAATTCCAGAGAAAAAGAAAACTCAAAGTTAAGGATGAGAAGTAACTTTATGCCCTCCATTACATAAAGGACAGTTCCCTAATGGTATTCTTCCAGCAGCGCTGTACTTGGAAATCTATTGGCCACTGCCACACGTGTCAAACCTGACCCAGACTCTCCTTCCATTCTTGTGAATCAATGCAGACTGCCCACATTAATGAGGTCTGATTTCATACAGAAGTTCAGCATATGCCCATACATCCCCTCCATCAAATCAACATATAGTTATAATGATGGATACATCTACTCATGCTGTTTCAAATGTGCAATTCTGTTATATTTGTGATATATAAATCTCAGTTATTTAGCCCTTATTACTAGACTGATTTCAAAACCAGTCTAGCTACGGTTGCTGTGGCCTTGGCAACTTTAATAGCCTAATTAATAAATTTCAAGTGTCAAGCTATCGGTTCGCTAATTACTTGAGTTGCAGGTTAAAAGCAGTGTGGCATGTATGTGAACTAATGATGCTGACATCAGTTTTTATGGACAGAAAAGTAATTATGATTTGCACCCTCGCAACAGGGTAGGAGTCCTACAGGCTTCTTTTCTTCCCCTTCCCAAAATGATGAGTATCTTTATGCTTGGAAACTGTCTTCTGTTAAAAGGGATGATAGCCTTCTTACTTCTCTTGCTGGAAGAGTCATTGCAAATGAATTGAACTGATCTCTCAATACTGACATTAAGACTGAAAAGGAATTAATGTTACCATGCATGGCTTGGAACTAAGAGATAAAGCTGATGCCCCAAATTTAGCCCTTCAGTCTCTTTGTTGGCCTTGGTCACTACTTAACTGACAGGCCTGTTCATCCAAATAATGCATGATACACAACAGTTTGCTGTAGTCCCCAAGTTTTAAAAAGTTGGGACAGCTATGTAGTTTACCTATAGGAAAGCTTTTTAAGAGCTATGGAGACATCCCCTATGAAGTCCAATAAAGATTTTACACCATGCTTTATGAAAAGCAATAGCTAGCTTGTGAAGGTTTCAGAAACGTGGTTTGAAAAATTAGGAAACCATTCTTTGCATTTTGGAGCCTGAAAAGCAGATGCCTTCTAAAATCCATGACTGCAGATTCAGACTAAGCCACAGACTAACTTTTAAATTTTAAAATATTTTAAAATAGAAATGGTGTCTAGAATTAACATAATCTATGGCCAGTAATACAGGATTATTCCAGGACTCTGATGAGTTTTTTAAGGTACTTCTTCCCCATTTCACACAAAGCACTCTAATTTTGGACCATGCAGACCACTCAGACCACAATACAGTTGTGACGTTATTATACGTACAGAAGTATGCCTACATAATGCTAAATGAAATCTTGTCCATCCTAAGCTTAAAAGAAAAAAAAAAGAAAGAAATTCTACTTGGGTAAGAGAAAAGGAAACCACCTTAAAAATTATCTTTAAAAATGAATGGTAGATCTCTGAAATGGCTCTGCAATATAGAAAATTTCCCAGTGAGATGGATGAACAGGCAGATAGAATATGAGAAAGTCAATTATCAAGCATTATTCACATATCGTTGCTCTCTCATCTGTGGTTCTCCTATTCCTATATTTATCATATAGGATATCACTGACACATCATATACAACACATACAGTTGTGAGGCAGTGCATTCACGATGGCCACACACACACACTGACAGGTGCATGTATGCACCTTGCTTATGCACATCTGCACACATGCCATGAAAGCACATCATGTGGTGGTAATTGTGTCAGAAACTGCAGAGCTGCAAGCACTGCTTCACTTTGTCACCCCTATCTGGCATTTCACTTGCTTGTAAGCTGCTGATCCATCTATCTCCTACTGGACTTATCCTAACTTAACAAGCCTCTAGCCCGCCTACCATCTTTAGTCATCTGTCTGCCTTCAACGATCAAATTGTGAGTTATTTCCTTCTTTTTCTTTCATAACATGCCAGAGATATTTTGGGTTACACCACTGATACTTCAAAATCATAACACTCTCATGCACGGAAAAGCTGTTTTACTGTAGGCAAATGAAGTTTTCTTGGCTTTGTGGCTACAATTATTCCCTGGACTAAACTTTGCAGAATGGACTTAAAAGTTGCCAAAGGAACTTGCATTAACAGGAGAAAGACTATAAACAGCATCAATATCATCTTTCAAGCTTGAACACTTCATGAAATATGCTTGTGACATCTAAAAATTATATGGTGATACAACGTGAAATTTACTGGCTCTTGCACAGGATAGCTGACTTCATTCCCTCCTGACTTATCATGCATAAATATTGTGGTTTCCCCAAGCTCGTGCTGATGAGCTTTCTCATGCCACACTGTATCCTCCATGGGATACACAACAATAGTAGAGCTAGTTTTGAGGGACCATCAGCAGGACCAGTGGCTTTGGTCCCTTGAGGCAATCAAACAGTTCCCCGGCAAATGCTTCTGTGGCCCCTCTGGGTATCATGGCACTGGGCTGCCTGCCTCTATAACAAAGTTGCCCCTTGAAGTCAGGTAGGTGGCAGGAGATGTGTGCAAGTGAAGCCAAATGACGCAGGAGCAATGGGTGCAAGGGGCCGCAGCCGTACGTGCCCTAAGGCAGGAGCCTCAGCAGGCGCCCACAGAAAGCGTCACAACTGGACATCCCATTCGAGACACCTGAGGTTTTGCCTTGTGGTGGAAGAATCCATGACCCACACATCAGCATCAGTTCTGCTGCCAAGAGATCCACAGACAAGAGTGTGTAGCCTTCCTGAGGCTGTAAGCAGGGAAAAGCAGGGAATACTCGCACACACATATGGAGAAGATCATCAGCAGGGCATCAAACTCAGGCCAGAGACCTCACACACTCAGTCAGGGCTTGTGTAGGACATATTGTGAGGTGCAGGAGGAATGGTTCTACATGATGCTGCACATCTTACCTTATTTGGGAAGGGAAACTTGCTTTGCTCTGCCTTTCCTGGTGTGTGAATAGCTGACAGTGGTGGAGGCCATGAATGGGTCATCTCCTGAAAAACAGTATAATTCAGCAAACTGTGTTTAGAAAGTCAGTGGAATAGGAGAACAATGATAGCATATCAGTAGCAAGAGTGCCTGGTTAGTGCAATATTAAAGTTGTTGCAGCTTCTAGGAAATGCCCACTTTTCACATAACCTAGACACTACATGAGCTACAATGATTTTTACACACTCTTGAGAGTAGTTATTAAGCACCGTTTCATTTTCACAAACAGGTAATGGATCTCAAGTGCAAGAAGTTTGATTTTTCTGACAATCTGCAAACACATTTTAATCACACAATGTATTCTGGCTAGTAAGACTAACATGAAGCATGGGAATAGAAATTTCAGTTCATGACCAAGTAACAGTGTACACACTATGTACTCATCACAAAACAGATTTCATAGACAAGGTCAGAATAATAAATGCTTAGCCCTTACTCAACAGTTATTCCTAAAATTGCCCTTATCATTGTAAAGGAGTTGAATAAGTTCCTAATTTCAGTGTATTTGTGCCTTTCACAGAAATGGGGCAAGCCCTAAACAAGGTGTGCTGCACTCCCTCTTTGTCTCCTCCCTGTGTTGGCTTAAGGGACATTTTTTAACACCTAAAAGACAGGTCAGCTTGACCTGACTAGAAATGTGGTCATCCTTGACACAGCTTCAGGTAGCAGGTAGACACATGTTCAGTACTGTTATCATTCAAGCCTGAATGAGTTGGTCTCCAAAGCAATGCTGTTTTTAGGGAGGGGTAAATTAAACACTTCAGATAAGAAGTTTGTTAAGAGAGAGGCTTCATATTCCTCTCCAGTGCACGATGTTAAGGGATGGACATGTTTTTTTGACATATTCAGCACTAATAGACATAATATTTGGTACACAATAATTTAATAGAACTAATATGAGAAGTAGTGCCAAGCGTGACAACCCTGAAGAGCTGGCCCATATGTTTGAAGAGTTCAAGAGCAAATAACATCCTGCCTAAGCAGGGGGCTTGCTGACACTATCAAGAGTTTGCCTGGCAGATGCTTTGCTGGGTTTTGCTGCCCTTAGCTGACTGTGGAATTGTTTCTCGGTGATATTCCAAGGAGTCATGCAGAGATCCACAATCAGTCCCAAAATAACACTGGAGTTATATTTCCATGACTCATTCTTTTTTAAAGAGAAAAGAAAATGTTCTTGTTTGAAAAAAAGTGCATGTGAGTCTCTTGCCCGTCCTTCGTTAGCGCTGATGGAACTGCTTCCTGACCCAGCATGGACTGAGCTGTGGTATTTTTTACATAGTGGAAAGTCTCTGACTGTTCTGCCAATGAAAAGATCAGGCCTTTCAACATAGTTTATTAGTAATAAATGTCACCTTTAAAGCATTCTTGATAAACAGTTTATTTCCTAATAAAAACTGCATTCTTTTATTTTATTTGAGGCTAAAAAGTTACATGATTTATTATACTTCTATAATCTATGTGCGTGCCTCTAATCAGAGCATCATCTGGTTTGCAGTTTCAGTATCAGAATTGCTCTGCTTTTCAGTTCTTTGAGGCAGATCATTCATCTTATGACTTCCTTATCTGATAAGTGCAAGCAATAACAGGATATAGTAATTTTTAATATACAGTAACTTCTTAAAACTCAGGCAACAAAAAACATAGGCAATCAGATTGCTGTTTGCTACAAATACCTGGCACAGTGCTATTGTTTGTAAAAGATTAAGGAATTACATATCGAGAAATTTTCCAACAGTAAAGGTTTATGATAATAAATTGACAAAATGGAGATTTGCAATGTGGATATTTAACCCTAAAATTGTGATTTAAAAGAGCATCATTTTCACACTTGCTTTTCTCTGCTTTTCACTTATGGGACCATTTGTTTACTTTGTAGAAAATGTAATATTGTGTATATAGACTAAAGATGTTTCCACTGGTAAAACCCTGTTCCCAACAAAAGTGTTTTTCCCTAGAAGTTGAGGTGCTGAGCCCAATAGAATGCATAGGAATGACTGTGCGTCCCTTTCTTCTGAAGGGCAATGCTTCACGTGATCTCTGTCAATTGAAGAATGGGAGCAGCCAGACTGGGAACATCTGGTGGCTTTGACCTAAAGTTATCCTACTTGTGAAATATTCTGCTCAGTACTTATGATTTCCATTTGTTCAAGAAGCAGTTCTTCCAGGTTATACGACTGGTGACCCCCACTGTCACCTTCTGGGAAACATCTTCTGAGAAGTCTGCTATATGCCATGCAGAAACCAATCTGTTACGGCAGCAGAGCTCCTTCCTCCCATCTTGCCTGCCTGAGTCTGACAATGATGCCTTCATCCAGGGAAAGGACCAGAGGGCTGATTAAAAATAAGGGTGACCTTTTTTTGACATGTCAAAATCTTTCACTTCTTCTTTTCCCCAAGATTATTTCTCATCCACACTTCAATGAAAAATAGCCTTAATGGTCTTCTTTTTCTTTTTCTTTTTTTTTTTTTTTTTTTTTCCCAGCTAGCTTCTCTTCTCCTTTTTTACTTTGAGTTGTGGTATATAATAATGCTTTCTACATAATTTAAATTTGATGTAACCCCTTCTGACACAAAGATTTAGTAAGACCACTGATAACTGTCAGGGTTAATAATTGCCATTATCATGAATATCTGAATGTAAATTTACTAGAAAAATATATTGAGTTGTGATCATATGGTGTATTTTCCATTACACTTTGACATTCAGACAACTATAAAATTAAATCAAATTAGGAAAAAATAATCAGAAAACTACTGTGAAAAAATATCCCAAACTATTTGTTGTCAAGACTGAGGAGTGGTAAGATTTAAATGTAGTAAAGTATTTTTTAGAAAGAGAAACATTAAACTATATGCACAGTCTTCTTCTGGTTGCCAAGAATAGCATCTCAAAAACCATGAGAAAGGATTTAGGTGTCCAGCAAGTGTCAACACCTTGCAAGGTCAAACAGAGACAACCCCAGAATATGTTGCTGTGTGCCAAATCTTGGGATTTTAGACTCAATCTGAAGATATTTGAGACAGATTAAAAACACTAGTGGTGACATATGATTATATCAAGATCACATTTTTTAGTACACAGTGTTAAATGTTTGAAAATGCAAGCCCAAATGGCAACTATTTAACTAACTAAAGAGAAAGGACTCAACTTTTAATGTTAAAATTAACTTTCATGCACAGTTTCTCTTCTCTGCTCAGGTAACTTGCCTGTCTTTGGAGTTTGGGATTGGTAGTACTGGCATGAGGCACCCGCTGGACTGAAAACTGATGAAAATTTTAAATTACTTAAGATCCTCAGAGCCTTCAGACTGGTGTTAGAACCTTGTTTGGCACAAAAGATTTTTGAAATCAAAAAGAGAGAAAAAGCAGGGTCTTTTTTAGCATGAATCAAACAGAAAATAAGTCAGAAACACCTGGCATCAGAAAATGTTCTAGCCGCTACAAGATAATGGTCTAATTTAAAACCAATTTAGATCTTCTTCAAAATTGATTACATTAACCTTAAAGTCCTGAACAATGTTAACTAAAGAAGGTACTGCGAAGACATTTGGGGTCCAGAAGTGTGGAAAACAAAGACTTTTGGTTCAAAGAAGGATGCCCTGACCAGATTGCTTCAAAATACATGTGGATGAGCGTGTGTGCCCAACTGCAGGACAGCTTGTTTGAGATGCAGCCAGATGCACAAGTCCAAGGGGCAGCTTGGAGGCCCCCTCTTTGTTTTTTAACACACATTTCTCCTTGTGAGGGTTGCAGTGATTTTTCTTTTTTTGGACAGACATCTTGGTAGTGGTAGTGGTGATGGCATGTCTCATTCACACACATACTGTAACTCTACAATTCTGCAACTCGACTCGTCTCTACCTGCAGTAAATCAGTTTTCAGCAGTCATACATAAATGTCCACTTTTACAAGCTATAAAGGTCCAAGCCTAGTTAATCTTACTCAGTGTGCCAACTTAGCTTTTCTTCTTACTGAAGGGAAAACCTTCAAATAAAGAAATCTATAGTATTGCGTATCCTTGCTCCAAATTCAGTTTCCGCAGCAACAATTAAGTAACAAGACATTTCTTGTGGATTAATGATTGCTTGGCAGTGTTTTGTTTGGGGCTTTTAACCCTAGCTTGTAAGTAATTTTTCAGGAAAAGTACCATGCAGAGGTAAATAATAGTATTCACTCTAGGCTTAAGGCAATGCTATTTATCTAGTGCCATCAATCTTGCTGTGTGGCACATGATACCAGGAATGGTTGAATTGATTCAAAAAAATTGTAATTAATAACAACTAGGGAGATGGGTATCATGTAGATTTGAAGTCTAGCCACATGTATAATCTTGCTGTTCATTCACTGCCAAAACCAGAAATTATCACTGGGTCATTATGAAAATCGACTGTTTAATCCTCCTCTCTGCTTGGGCTCACCTAGTCAATTTTTGATTAACAATATTTTGTATCTCCACACATGATGATTTAAGAAATATTTGTAGCAACTAATAAAGGACCCTGTCAAATACCTTTTGAAAATTATTTAAGCTGACTCAACTTCATCCACTGCTTTACTGACGTGTCACAGAATTACAGGAGATTCATGAGACACAATTTTCCTTTGCAAATACTCTACTGGTTAGCTCAGGGGGACTGGAGCTAACTGGATCTGTCTTTGTAGTTACTGACACTGAAATGCAGATTTTAGGGGAAGCATTAGATACATTTATTCAGTTGGAAGTCAAGGCAATGCAAAGCTAATGCAGAGCTTTCCAAGACCCTTTAGCAAGTGATCACAGGACACAGTTTGAGAACCTGTAATCGAGTTACTCTCGTCTTCACAAATTTTTTTTCTTTTTTTTTTTTTTTTTAAACACAGGAAACTCTTTAACTGCTGTCAGTTGGCAAATATCCCTTTCAGCTCAGTGAAGCCACACTGTCACTAGCTGACAACATGGCTATGATTTTAGTGTCAAACATCTAAAGCAAAGAGTCTGACGCTGAAACTTGGAGACTATGTTGAA